AAGGCTTTACTGAAATCCATAGACTACATCTACCGCCCTGCCCTCATCAACCTTCCTGGTCACTTCATCAAATTGTGTATGGAGGAATTTGGAATAATTGAGCAAAATTCAGTATATAGAAAAGAAAACTGAGCTTTCTCACGGTAAAAATCAGAAGTGGAAGAGAAATGCAATGATACGTATTTTCACACTGAGGTTAATCAATCACTTACAAAATGGACTGACTGATTAACATTCTTACCAGAAAGGACAATCAACCTTTTCATAAAAACATGGATTACAGGTCAAGAAAGGACTTCTTGCATCAGTCTCTATTCAGCCAACAGCCTCTGCAGAACTTGTTATATCCCAGTTAATCTTTAATTTACACAACAAAAACAACTTGTATTTACACAACACCTTTATAAAGTAAAACATCTTATTGCACTTAACAGAAATATAATCAGTTAAAAAATTAAGACTGAGGCAAAGAAAGGGAGGGAAGGACAAGTGACCAAAAGCTTGGCCAGAGGTATTGGTTTAAAGGAGTGTATTAAAGGAGAATAGAATGAAGAGACTGAATTTAGGAAGGGAAATCCAGAACTCAAGGCCTATGTAGTCAAAGGTATGATCGCCAATGATAGAGGAAATTAACTGAAGGATTGTCTGGAGGATGTGGTTAGAAAAGCACAGCTCTTGGGCTATTGTAGCACTGCACGAGGTTAAAGAGATATGGAGGAAAGAAATACATAAGTAGCCTTTTGTGAGTTGTTGAAGATTAGAAATTTCTAAAAATTGTTTCAGCTTCATGAATTGAGTTGAACTTCAGAATTCACTCTGATTGGTGCTATTTCATACTGCTGCAAACTGCAGCAATCCAAAAACTAAACTGGAGCAAACTGGAGACTACCTGAAAAGCAACCTCACAGCTTGTGAACTGAATCCCAAAAATGGGAGAAAAAACAATTTTGGACAGGCCCACATTGAGAAATCTCTGCCATCGAGTGTCTGCAACATTTAATTCAGGACAAGTGATTTAATATGTGGTATTTACAATCAGTTATGCAAACTGAGACTTAGCCTCACGTCACACATGAAATAGCATTAACTTAAAACGTAAATCAGTCTTTAGTTTTCTATTGAACACTCACCTTTAAAAATGATGTGAGAATCCATCATCAAACTGAAGGAATTGAATGCTGCTGTATAATGTAGTTGGGAATTCCGATGTTACAGGAATTCCTACTATTATCCAGCTAGACCCAATCAGCTGCAACAGCAATAAGCACTAGGTTGGTGCCCTCAAAATGGGAAGGGAAATGATCCCCATTGATTCTGCTGTATGCACATTTACACATTGTTGAGTCCTTAAAATACTTGTGCCTGCTTTAAACATGGACAATGGTGTGTAGTTATTTTAATCAATTTGTTTGAACATTCTTTGGCACAACTCTGGGGAAGGTGGGATTTGAAACTAAACCTTCTGGCCCGCAGTACAGGTACTATCACTATGCCACAAGATCCCTATGCTATTTTTAGAAGTAGTTAATTAAAATAATTAAAATTTTATGAGCATCTATCAGCACATTTCAACAGTCATTCCTTCTAATCTCTGGTGCCATTAAAATTTTAACCATTTTTGTAATCATTGTCGTGTAGTCACAGCCTGAATTAATCATCCTGCTGACAAATCAGAAACCAGTTGATCAATGATATTGCTAGGACCAAGGAGAGATGCAACTTGGCTTAAGATCTATACAGGAGGGGACAGTTTTGGTTCCCTTAACTTAGACAAACCATTTTGTTTTCTTTCAGGGGCCTAACGCAATGCTATTACTCACCCTCCTCCCCCTACCACTCCCAATGCCCTGAAGACAGTAACTTGTACTGTTTTACAGTTCCAGAAGGCACCAAATACCTTTCAGCCCTGCATCACAATGATAAATCTTTGTGTCAGTCAAAATAATGAATTAACTGGAGTCTGAAACTTGCAACCTTGTACGTTATCATGCATGTACACTCTTAGAAAAAAAATCTTAATGTGCCCACAAGCTTAAAAACAATTGAACTTATATAAAAAGCAAATTAAGAGGGTAGGTTGATCAGTGTATAATTCTATATCAGCTTACATCACATCCACATACCATTCTTCTTTACCAATTGGTTATGCAAGCCATATTCAGCAGGACTGAGCCCACGGACATTGGGCAGAATTTTCCTGGCCCTGTAGTAGTGGGCTTGGTGTAGGGCGAGCTGGAAAAGTTATAGGGGAGCCATGTTGAGAGGACCATACAATGCATTCCCCATCACTGTGATGTTTTCTAGCAGCAGCTTGGAAATCTAATTGGCTACATACTCCACAGAAATGGGCAGTCAATTAAAATAGTCAAGACACCAATTAGAGGTGATTTTGTGGCTTCACTAGCATTTGGCCACTAGCGCACTGCATGTGAGGTTTCTAGCACAATGGAGGTAGTGAAAGGTTCCATGTCCCAATGAAAAGGTTATGAGCATAAAGCTATTAATTCCAACCAATCCTTATCCAAAAAGAGGGGTTTTCCCTCCACCAAAATGAACTGGTCAGCCTAGTTTTTTTGTTTATTATGAACTTTGACCCAAAATCAGTGAAACCAGCAAAATATCTAATTTATTTCAAAGGTCTGTGGAGTTTTATTACTTTTAAGGATGTTTGAAAAG